TTTCGAAGATAATTTAGAACTTTTTTTGATTGATCTAATAACCAATTTTTGAAATTTTTTAGTAAAATAGGCTCAGCAATAATATCGTTCTATTTGAAGACACTAGAATAAAAGTCATTTAAGACGCAGTTCATACCTTTTTTTTTTATTAATGTAACAATATACAAAAAAATCTGACTTTCTTGACTGAAAAGTTGAAAAACCATTTCCTTAACATGTAAATGTGAATAAATCACACTTGTTACCACCAAGAAGGAAAAGTTTGTCTTTTACCAAATAATTTAGTGGAGTTTCCTGTAAATTAGTCAGAATCGAATTTCTTCCAACCCGTCATATTGTTATTTAATGATAACAAGCTCATGATTTAATGTTTGGACGAAATTGGAGGTGATGATACTTTTAATTCTTACGAGGATACAATTGCACAACAGCACGAAAACGGGCAAATGCATCATGAGTCCTTGATTAAGATTTGATCAGTGTTAAAAGTCAGAATCATACAATATAGTATTACTTTTAGTATCATAGTCTCTGATTGATCGATAAAAGACCAACTGCCGGGAAATCATGAGCTGAATTCTAAAAAAACGATGCAAGATATTTTAACGAAAATTTCAACCCGGTATTTAGAGAAGTTGATGTCCAGTGTTTAATACGTCATGAGTAAAACTTTTGGAAAGTGCAACATCCTAAAACTGGAGACATCGATAGCTTTGGCAAAGAAAGAACTTCCTAAAAGTGTTGAATGTCAGACAGGATGAAAAGTTGTGACTCGGTTGTGATACGAAACAAATAATCTTTCCTTTTAGCATCCATGACAGGATCCAGTTGAAAGTCGTGTTTCCTTTTTATCATCATTTAAACTGGTTTTTCCAATTACACCAAAAGCTGTACGTTAATCTCACATCTATTCTTCCGCTGATATTCATGCGTGTTGTGATATGTTTTTGTAACATGAATAAATAATTTGGTGAAGATTCGAAACGGTATCAAATAGTCTATTTTTGTTTAATAGAGACAGGAGCCCATTAGCAAGTAATGGGCTCCTGATAGAGAGTGAAAATTGGTGACATAATTTCACAATTATCTCTATTAAAAGTTTGTTCCGAGCGCTGTAGGTGTATAAGGATCTTTAACCTTTAACTCCCAAGATCTGACTGTTAATTCTCCCCTCTTACAGCTACAGATTTCCTTGTATCTAAGTTGCAAGAGTCTGGTTAGTCTAGGTAACAACTTTTACCTCGGATAAGTTTGAGTATTCTCATTACCTGTTTACTGGAAAATGTATGGATATTATAGGGAGAAGTGAAAAGTAAATCAATTGCGGAAGTTAAAGGGTGAATCGGTGATCACATCATTATGACGTCATGTCCTCCATTTTAAACGAGAATGATCTGAATAATCTTAACTGAGGAGCGAATGTAGCACCATTTGCCGTCTTACATTTCAGTATTTATAGGTCTTCTGTATAAACCTTGCTGATCCTGAATTTCCTTGTAAATAACTTACAAGAATTTGTTGTTAGATTTAGGTAACAACTTTTACCTGATAAGTTTGAGTATTCTCATTACCTGTTTACCAGTAAATGTATGGATATTGTAGGGAGAATTGAAATTTAAATCATTTAAGGGAGTAAAAGGGTTAAGAGGCTAAAACGGTGATTACATAATTACGACGACGAGAATGAAATAAAATTTGTCTAAATAAAAAACTTTGTCGCCAGTGCGAAAAGGCCCTTATTTAAATCAGCAAACTCTTGAGATAAACTTATCACAAGCTCTGTGATTATTACATGACAATGTGATATGAAGCAGGCAGAAAACAAACTCTCCATTCAGTGCACAAACTTATCATCTTGAGGTTGCTTCTTTGATGCAGCACCAAAATCTCGTAACTAACTAAGTAGGAAAAGTGAAGCAGCTGGTAGTGCCCTCTCAATTGACTAGTGTGCAACCACGCATCTATACGATCATGCCTCAGTCCTAATTTATTTTAACCAACAAACTTTGTTTTGACCAAGTCTTCCTTATGTCACAATTTGGCGTTGAGGAGAGCTGTTCATTAACCCCTTTACATTTTAAGCAACATTGCCTTTTTACTTCAATAGTTTCCAAAAATACATCAGTTGGCGCATGCAGTGTTTAACTTCCTTATTTATTTTATAGGTTATAAGCGGGGTTTCCGATAGTGTCGCATCTTATAGGCCCATTTCCAGCCTTGATGTAACGTGGTCATTTGTCATGTTTTTGTCTTACCTGTCATGTAAGACATACTGATATAAACCCTTGAGTATAGGAACCCCTGAATGTAAGACACTGATTGTACGACCCCTGATGGAGTAGGTGGTAGGCACTTATTCGGGGAAGGGCGCTTATTAGAGCATGGACGCTTAGT